TAACCTTCAGGCACAAAACTGACTTCTTCGCTAGTCTCTGTGTCCCCAATATATCAGTGTCATCTGCAAAGGAAGAGCTAGATTGAACGTGAATATTTTGAAGCCCTAAAAACAAAAAAGGGCAAAGTGCAAGGCATGTATAAGTGATTTTTCAGTTGTCCTTACAGCTAGATGAGGAATTTGCGTTGCTAGATAGCTGGTGCATGTGGCATTGATCATGGCAGTGTGCTGTTTGTACCATTCTGACACGCTTCTTGCCTTTGTAGTGTTAGGTGTGCAGCTGTGGAACAGGTCAGCTGATTTTTCATGAGTGCGCTTCTGGTAAATGGATTTGTGGACTTTCCGCCATAAACACTTCCCTCGATGTCCTGTCAGGTTGAGCTCCTTAGTTCGCTCTCACAAAAATATTACAGACCAACTCACCGAGCAAGCTACATATGTGCCGTCCTTCTTGAAAATCGGTTGTGACAAATCTGATTCTATATATATAGTTAGTTGAATTAAGTCCCAGATACAAACTGGTGAAGGAAAGACAGACTACTTGGTTTGATAGCGCGGAGTGGGGCATCGCATGGTGTGTAGGACAAAGCACGTTGAAAATGTTATGGTGTTTTGTCTGCTTTCATCTTCTGCGCGTTACGTCACAGTTCACGCAAACTTAATTTATGGTGATTACCATTTCATCCAATATTGTTGGTCTTGCTCAACCTGCCGATGCAATGTGGATCGTTTCTGTTTGATATAGCATTTCGATTATTAACTGTCATTTTACCCCTCTTTTTTCATTAAAGGTCATGCATGTGGTCTACTTTATTAACTGTTTTTTTAATATGCCCTAAACAGCTAGCCCTTCCTCAGTTATAGCAATATATTCTATACACATCGCGATTCTACCCTACCCGTCCCTAGTTCTGGCCCCCACACTTCGCATTCGAACTGCCTCTGTTCTTCGACTCACTTGCACAGTCATAATTATGAATATTCCATTACCAACTTTCCACCCATTTCATCATTGTTCAAAGCCCGCCTCAGATATTACATATTCTCGTAAGCTAGAATATGTCGACAGTCCTCGCCAAACACCACTATCGGCGTTGCCACTGACCGGGATTCGTCGAAATACAGTGAACTCGAAAGTATCTTAAAATTTACGTCTAAATCTAATGCAACATTAATATTAGGAGCATTCGACAAGTTTTTTTTATAGTCCACCTATTTAACTTGAAATTGCAAGTGAACTAATTTTGATGCGTTTGCGAAGTGGACAGAATTAAGGCCAGACTGGTGACAGAAGGTGCAAAATAAACGTAGGCTGAAAAAAAAATCCCATTTAAATTGCGCACAAATAAAACACGTCGTCGTTGGCGGCGGCGTGCCGATTGGTTGGCGTCGGCAACGGCGGCGTAGTCAAAATTGTTGGTGGCAGCGCGCCGACTCCTCGGCGAACACCTCTAGTTCTAGCATGAAACGCTAAATTTCCCACGTTTGGTCATCGAATATTCGAGATAACTCGACTCCGTTATCATCGCGTCCCATTAGGAATTACCATTCTGCAAAGTTCACGCCTATCACAGCGCGCACTAACAATTTTAAGCATTCCTTTTTTCCTCGCACTACAACCGACTAGAATAACCTTCGATCCGCATGAAATTCTTTCATCCGATAATGTGCTGACATCTATTGATCGAATGTATGTTTGACTTATAAATTTTATATTAGTATTTCACAGTGTTTTTTAAAATAATTTTTATTGTCCTGTTCATTGTTTTTACCTGACTAAAGAGTGTATAATTGATATAACGACTCTGTAACACCCCCCCCCCTCCTGCTTGGGCCCATTTGTGGCCTGCACTATTGTATAAATAAATAAATAAATAAATAAATAAATAAATAAATAAATAAATAAATAAATAAATAAATAATCAATCCATTATTCAATGAATGAATAAATAAACTAGAAACTCAATGGCTGCCTGAAACGGCGTGTTGTGTTCGTTATGCGAGGTATTTTTTGGCTAACCAAAGGCTCTTCTACCGAAAATACACCACTAGAAGCATATTTTTGCCTTCGTAGCATGACCGCATTTCATTTTCCATAAGACGTTCTGAATTGTGTAGTGAACGTGACGAGTCACGACCATTATAGGCGCGACGTGGAAAATAAGTGAACGTCCGTAACTGCACGGAGCAGGAACCGTTATCAAAACTTGTGGCGAACGGTTTTTCGTTTCACCTAGCCTTACAAATTTTGCTCTAAACGAATTCTTGGTACCATTCGTAGTTTTGCCCGCGTTACACCAAACTACGAGAGTGTATTACGGCAGCATACGGCATCTCTGGCTTTTAAACATTACACAGTTAACGCAGAGAAGTCAAATTTGTCTCTAAATTACCTTTGGGACTTTGTCTACCAGCCTAATGTGTTTGTAAAAAAACGCCAAAACCATTTCAGAACCCCTTAAAAGCAGTGTATGATATATTAGAATAATATAATAATAATAAAACACTCATCCATAGGCCTTCGCAGTAGACGCATGCCCGGATCTCCAACCAAGTGTACGACCCGTAAGAGGTGTTGTTTCGGGCATTTTTTTGTTATTACATTGAGAAATTTTGAGCTCAAAACTTCATTAACAAATAATGATTGTATGGAACAGTATGACTGCAGCGTGGCCATTTATATCTTCCACTCTGAGCGTGCCTGATGACGTGCGATATTCTAACCATAGAGTTTCCTAATTTTTTCCCCTAAAAGTATATGAGGAAACTCTATGATTCTAACCACGTATGCTTTGAAGAAGGTTGGCTTCTTAGTGTATATTAACAACAGGACGTTCACGCACGAAAAAATGCACATGCGCCAAAAACCGAAACCAACGCCTCCTAGATTTCTAGTGCCTGCCGGATTATCGACGATCACTTGGGAAGCGGCGGTTGTGGGAACTACAGTGGTGACGTCACTCAAGTAGAATTGTCTTTAAATAAATTTTTACGTTTTTGAAGCTTCTATGCAACAAAAATAATGTAAAAAGTTTTTAAAAACGTAAACGTAATTGTAATAAATTCTACGTAAGTAAGGTTGTCATTCAGCAAGCAACTTTTTTTAATGCATGGCATCCTCTAAACTTAGTAGGAAACGCCGTCATTGCCGATCTCAAAGGCTGAGTACAAAGACCTTAATTACTACGTAGACAGCGCCGCCATAGATGACCAGCGTTTTACGCGCATCCGGCAGGCACAAGAAATCTAGGAGGCGTTGCCGAAACCTATATAGTTCGGAATCTCTCCGCTTGGTGTCGTACAGTGGCGGCCATGGAGTTTGTTCTCACTGACGCAGTGCATCGAAATAGCAGAAAAGGAACACAGGCCCCTGTGGCTAGCATTTTTGGATATCAAGGGAGCGTACGATAGCGTGGTTCAAGAGGAATTGTGGGGAATACTGGACACACTAGGCGTGGAACATGTAGTCACTAATCTTTTAAAGGGTATCTATAAAGGTAACAAGGTAGTTATAAAGTGGGAAAAGCAGGTGTCCAAGCCTGCAGAGGTAAAACGGGGGCTTAGGCAGGGGTGCCCCCTGTCACCCTTATTATTCATGATGTACCTACACGGATTAGAGGCAAAATTAGAGGGAAGTGGACTGGGCTTCAACCTGTCTTTAGTCAAACAAGGAAAACTTATTGATCAGGCACTACCAGCATTAATGTACGCAGATGATATAGTGCTAATGGCCAACAACAAGGAAGATTTGCAGAGATTGATGGACATCTGCGGTAATGAGGGAGATATGTTAGATTTTAGATTCAGTAAGGAAAAATCAGCAGTCATGATTTTCAATGACAACGAAGGTAGTGAGCTTAGAATACAGGAGGTCACGCTAGAGATAACAGATAAATACAAATATCTGGGCGTATGGATAAGCAATGGGACCGAGTATCTGAGGGAACACGAAATATACGTGACGACTAAAGGTAACAGGAATGCAGCAGTCATGAAAAATAGGGCACTGTGGAATTACAATAGGTATGATGTTGTGAGAGGAATATGGAAAGGGGTCATGGTTCCTGGGCTGACGTTCGGCAATGCGGTCTTGTGCATGAGATCAGAAGTTCAAGCAAGATTAGAAATTAAGCAACATGGAATAGGTAGGCTTGCTTTAGGAGCTCACGGGAATACACCAAATCAGGGAGTACAAGGTGATATGGGATGGACATCATTTGAGGGCAGGGAAGCTAGCAGCAAGATAAAATTTGAGAAGCGATTGAGAGAAATGGGGGAAGAGTGTTGGGCTAGGAAGGTTTTCAGCTACTTGTACATGAAGAATGTCGATACAAAATGGAGGAAGCGAACCAGGAAGTTGACTGGTAAATACTTAGAAAACAGCAGGTGGCCAAACCAAAAAGAACTATCGGTTAAGAAGAAAGTGAAGGAAACGGAGACTGACATGTGGAGAATGGGCATGATAAAGAAGTCCGCACTAGAGATCTATCGAACGTTTAAGCAGGAAATTGCCAAGGAAAGGATCTATGATAATACTCGGGGTAGTTCTCTACTGTTTGAGGCCAGAACGGGAGTACTGCGAACCAAGACATATCGGGCCAAATACGAAGGGGTAGACACAGTATGCAGTGCGTGTGGAGAGGAAGAAGAAACTGCCGAACACTTGATAATGTTCTGTAAAGGGCTTCACCCTATAGTTCAGGATGATGGCGCAGAGTTTTTCAAAGCACTGGGGTTTAGGGACCGGGAGGGCAAAATAAACTTTAAGCGGGTAGACTTAACTAGAAGGAGGTTATCTGATTGGTGGCTAAAGTCAAGGCACGAGTGAAAATTAAACTCTTCACTGCAAAGTACGAATCCTCAAACTCTTTTTTTTAAGGAAAAAAAAAAATATAGTTTTTGGTTCATTAGGTATTACGCATTAGTGGCGCTAGCCACCGCCCGATCTAACGGGTACAGCCATATCCATTCATCCATCCATCCATCCATCCATCCATCCAGAGTGGTGGCGGCATATTAGCGGCATGACATGCACATGGACATGCGTGCCGGCCTTTGTTCAGGCTTGTGTAAAAGTGTCAAGTCGTATAAGTTTTGTTGAACTGTTCCGTGAGATAGAGAGGAAAGACGTTGCAGTCTCTATGGAGTCTGCATAGAATTTTATGCATGTTCCTGTGCACTTGTGCACACGCTGACATGATGCCCCAGACACAAAGAGGTGGTGAAGCGAGTTGCGCCGTTGAAAAGTTGGCCGCCTCTCAGCTGGGAAAATTCGTCGTATTTTTTGTAACTTTGTCTGGTAAGGTATCTTGAGGATGAAGACGATGCGTTCACTGACCAAGCCAAGATACAAAGGTACGTTTAAGCATCGTTTAGGGACCCGTACGTCTCCTCATGTTTTGACCGCATATTCATCCTCTGCTTAGAACTGTGTCACTTTTCAGACGGCAAAGTTCTCGTTCCTGGAGCTGAATCAATACACTGGTGTGTCTGTTGCAGAATGCCTGGCCGCGCCGTAAGATCATCTTCCTTACCGGTCCCGCCCTACGATGTGCTGTCCTCTGCATTCGAGTGAGTGGCAGCAGCTTCTATTTTTTTTCTTTGTGTAAATTTTTAGGCATTTGCAGAAAATTTTCATAAAGTTGCCGAATGAGGAAGCAGCTTAGTGGACTGCCTGCGACCAAGAACTTCCTAAGCTACCAAGACGCGCCTTGCAGCACATAGAGGGACCGCGGCGACGCACCGTATCAGTGCTGTTAATGACCAATCTGTTGTTCAACCGAATCGGCGTATTGTCGGCATCAAATGATACGCGAACAGCGGAGCGCGTGGCGCAAGCCTTATCAGTGGCATAGTGCGTGCCGTCGACCAGTCATTGGCACAGACAGGCCCGCACATACGGTGTGGCAGCACTGCGCGATCCCCATATAGGGCACTATTTCTGCTTGTGTTCCAGGTATGGTATTTGAAAGGAACAAAAAAAAAAAATCGGAGGTTAAACTACTGCAGCCGAAGGTGACTATTGTAGCACGGTTTGTCAAGATGCAGTCCATCATCACGGAATTCCTGGCTAATTCTATTTATACTAGACGAAAGTCGGTTCATAATGGTGGCAATTTCATGCTGTTTCACTTCGTGTCAGTAAAGCGAAACAGTTCGCGCTCTCTCTTCTGAACAAACGCTCAGCGTTTCCAGTTAAAGTGACGCGTTTTCAGGTCGGTCTCTGAAAGAAGGGTGCAGGTGAAGCAGCGCTGGCAAATGAGATGCGACATTCGTTTGAAAATCAACCGCAAACCGATTATATTTCTACTTTTGTTTTATTGCGCCAAGTCACCAATTGCACTGCGACGCTGAAGTAAACGCAAGGAATTGCGAGTGATGCGATCAAAAGTGCTTGGCAAGCCCACGATGGCCACCATACGAAAACTAAAGCAGAAACGGAGATAACGCACTGTAGGGGGATCGCGAAGTGCTGCCAAACCGGGTGTGCACGCCTGTCAATAGTGATGACTGGACGGCCAACACTATACGTGGCTTGCACTGACGTCACGGTGAGGAACCCTGGGATACCGTTCGGCCATGCCGGTGCAGTGGTGTGGTCAGCCGTAGCGATCGTGCGTCCGCTGCCAGCGCGTCACAATGGTGATCTGTGCAATTGTGGGATGCTCAAACCGTACTTGTTGGTCCAAATCAACAAACAAAAACTTCTTTCGCCTTCTGAAGGTAATCGAGCATCAGGGCGATCGCACGAAAGAGTTATGTGTGAAACGACATAGTAAAGCGATAAGCTAGGACTCTGCACACTCGTGTGGCACACACTTTTCATCACTGATGCTGTCACTTTGCCAGTTTGCCAGCACGGTAAAGGAACCAGTCTGGTGAGTTACTTTGTTGCCTTGTTGCAGCCTCAACTGTCTTCACTGTGTCGTCCCTGATGGAAAAAGTGGCAAGAAAGTCGTCAGCCTTCTTCAAAAGCGTGTCAAGGTTGTCTTCCAAGTTCTCTTCGAGATACAGCTTTCTCAAGTGGGCAGGCTGTGTTTTTACAGGCTCCTGAAAGCTTTCGCAATACTCTGGAAGCACAGAAAATACTGCCGGTGTGACACCTGTGCTCTAAAATGCTCTGTACATGTCACCAAGCTCCTCTTGGGTTGCTGGTGGGATGTCCATTCGTTTTTTTTATTTGTGCACTCCTGAACTGCTGCTGTTAATGACGTCGTCCAGTTTTCGCTTGTTCCCTCTCGACGAAGTGAAGTCGATGTCCTTTAGCCTCTTGAACTGCACCTTCTCCACGTACGCTAGAAGCCAGATGTTCGTTTTTGAGGTGCAGCTTGTAGCGTTTTTCATCTTTACACCTGTTTCAACTGCATACAGGCAGGCTACAACATGAGAACAGGCCTCACCTGCTCCTGCCATACAGGTGCAATGAGCAGTGAGCACGACCCCGCTTTTCTGGCACAAAATCCACACATGCAGAGGCTGGTCCCGCAACTTTTGCGAATGTTTCACCTGCAAGAGATAAAAAAAAAGGCAATGCACAGGTGTTTCTTGCCCACATATCTGCGCGATCGCTCGTCACTGTTGATCGCGCCTCGAAACGTAACCACCCGCTGTGGTGGCTCAGTGCCTAAGGCGTTGCGCTGCTGAGCACGAGGTCGCGGGTTCGATTCCCGGCCGCGGCGGCCGCTTTTCTGATGGAGGCTCCAGGGCTACCAAGGCATTGTATAGCCTTAGACGTAACCTTTATACCGCCCCATCTGATATAAAGTGTCTTGCTTACAAAACTCTTGTCAGACCTATTATCGAATATTCTAAAATTGTCTGGGACCCTTACACAAAGACAAACTGCAATAAAATAACAAAAATACAGCGACTTGGTGCGAGATTTATTTTTAATAAATATCGCCGACATCATTCTCCTACTGAACTCTGTAAAAAAGCTGGACTGGATAGTCCTGAACTTAGGACGAGGATTGAGCGCCTGAAATTCCTCTTCCAGTTAATTCATAATCATTTTAAACTAAACTATTCAGATTACTTCCAGGTCAACACACAAGAACACTCCAGACATCGCCATAATATGTATATACCACCCCTAGTCCCACGTAACGATTGCTTTAAGTTCAGTTACTTTCCACGTGCTATTGAAGATTGGAATATGCTGCCAGAGTCTATAATTGGTTGTTCCTCGCTTACATCATTTGAACAGAATCTAAAACGTTTATTTTCCGAATAACAGTGACATATGTTTTTTTTTTTTGGCGTGTGTGTGTACTTTTTGTTGGTTGCATGATTCTGCAGTAGTTGTCTTTCAAATCTTCAGCGGGGTGCAAAAGTGCCGCCTCAAATGCGTCATGTGCTGTTCTGCGCGTATGTATTGCATCGCATGTGTGTTCCATTTATGTATGTTATGTATAACTTCGAGTTGCTGGTCACAATAATACCGAGAAACTATCTCGAGACCTGTACGGTACTTCTTTTTTGCAAATAATTGTTTGTACTTCCACCCTGTAACGGCCCACTTCTGGGCTAACAGTATAAATAAATGAAATGAAATGAGGCGAAAAGCAAAAACGCCCGTGCGTGCGAGATTTCGGCGCACGATAGTTCCCCAGTTGGTCAAAATTAAACCAGAGCCCTCCACTACGGCGCGCCTCATCGCCTGCGTTGCGGCAGCGCGTTAAAACCCTACAATCAATCAATCAAAACCTAACCGGAAACAGCTAAGAGTTGTTCTAGCGCGACCATTTCTATTTCAAGCATTCCGTGCAAGATTTTTGAACCAACGAAATAGTAAAAAATATCCCGGTTGCTTACCTCTCCGAGCAGAAGCACTTTGTCGTCTTGTAGCTGTTTTGCCGAGAGGGACTTGACCAACACCACCTAGATAAGTTCAGGCAGGCTTCTTCACTGCCGCCGTGACGTCACGCACCTGGCCCGTCGACGCGCGCGCGAGCCGCTGCGGCGCGGACGCTTCCAGCGCGGCGGCCACTACAGATGAGTAAAACATTAATTTCTGCATTGCCGCGATATAGGCATAGAATATAAAATTTCTGAACGAACGTTATTTCACATCAAGATGAAATAGTGCTGTTCCGCTCCATCTTGGCGGACGTAACTGCTTCAGATTGCACTTAAAAGAAACGTACACAAGTCCCGGGCACCTGGCAAAATATTTATTACAATGTAAGTACCATGTATCACAAGGAACATACGAACTTCCAGCTTTTAGCAGTCATATTGACATCTATGACTACATTGTGCAACACAAAAACCGAAACTGACAAGATTAAGCAAAAAAAAAAACAAGGCGCTAGATTATTCGTTATAATGTTTCAAAATTTATCACAGTGAAAAACTTTTAGCATCTGGTACAGTCATATTCACAGCCATAATCACATTATGGGGCAAACAGAAAAACACAACTGCTCTTAGAACGAAAGAAACTAGCTACTGGAGTATTTATTACAATCTATAAAGTGTATCACAAGGAACAAACATTTAGCATTTGGAACAGTCATATTCAAAGCCATATTCACATTGTGGGACAAAAAGAAAATACGAACCGGCCAGCTTAAAAAAAACTAGCCATTAGTAAAGCTTGCTTCATATTTTAGCGAAGGGGCCACTAGCAAAGTTTACTGTAGCGTTAGCAACTTTCTTTGCTTTGTACAGGCTTTTTCTTTCATGACACTGTCATTCCTGCAAGCGACATAGTTTTTTAGAAGCGTGTTGACAGCTGGTTTTAGAATGTTCTTGAGTACGGTATCTGGATGGTGGCCGCTTGCACACATGTCCAACTCCTCGCCGTCGCTTAGTAGGAACTGCATGATGCTCAAGAGGACCATCCTTTGGTTGGCTTCTGCATGAAACCGCTGCTCCTGTTCCTTACTGACAAGGTGCTCTAATACTATCTTAGTGCCAAGAACAACATTAACAACAAAAAGCTGCGGAAACTTCAAGCCGCCTCTGCTCATGCTGTCAATGAGTACGTGCTCACTTTGCTGCAGTTCTCGGTCAGTGATCATGAGCTGTGACTGACAATCCTCACATGGCTGACGTTTATTTGCAGCATGCGCACAATAGCCTGCAATGTATGCCAACGCAGGCACGTCAGTTTGTGATGCCTTCAGGTCACTTTGGGCGAGTTTGATGGCATACTTTGCTATTAGCATCTCGGCATCAAGCTCCTGTTCCTTAGGTGCCAATGACAGCGGCATGTCTTCTAGCTTTAAAGTGTCCTGCAAGCGAATCTTTGTCTCCGCTTCTAATACTTCTGTGATTGACACATTGTAGTGAGATCCACACATTTGACGGTACTTCCCGAACCTGGCCTCAAGGCAATCTGTTTGAAACTTCCCCAAAAGGACGTACCTAAAGCCCAGCTCATCAAGGCAATACCGTGACAGCTCAATCAATGAATACGTGCTTAGCCGGAGAGCAAAGTTGGTCTCCTTTGTCAAACCTCCAGCCGTGGTTCCCCTCCGGCTCCACCTGTCAAGCCAGGTAATGAACTGATCAAGGTACTGAACTTGCAAACAAGACATATCCTTCACAGGCTGCTGATAAACATCACGTAGTCTGTGCCCCTTTTCTGGAGTCTTAACATTTACAATGCTCCACCACCTGACAATCAAATCAATAAAGGTGGCCGTTTCCTGCAGTGCAGCCAAATGCAATTTCTGCACTTCAAGTGACAAAGCTGATGACACAAAGCTGTTAAAAACTTTCAACACCAATTTCGCATTTTGACGCTCTAGGTGGCTTGGATAAAGTGCTTTATAGCTCAGACCATAGGCAACCTTTGCAAGCTT